ATAGCTTCACTGTAGGGAGCTGTAGGTTGGGATCGGGAGATGTTTCATTTGGTTGGATGCAGCGGTGTCAGCTTCAGATATTCAAACGTTAGGCCTCCAACACAATGTGAGAAAAGCTTTAAAAATCCTCAGGGCTTTTGTTTTTTTTTTTTTTGGCAGGTTTTGACAGGGGCTCTTTGGCATCTGGTTTTTCCTCTCTTGGGATCTGCTTGCAGGTATTTCTCTGCCTCCTGGGAGCTAGTGCTGGCTTTTTCTTTTCTGATCCCCTGACTATAGGCGCTGGGGCTGTACAAAACATATCCTGTGTTGTGCAGCTTGCAGTGACATTGCAAGTGCTTGCAGCGATGGGAGAAGTCGGGCAGGGCTGGGACAGAGTTGCTTCCACTGCTTCGCAAAGACAGCTCGGGGCACGTGCCGCTTCAGACTAAGTGGGTCAGCAGATCAGGGCAAGGTAGCTCGGTTTGGCCGTGGTGTTTTGTGAGGGTAACAATAGCGTTGGGAACGTGCTGTATCAGCGTAACAAGGGCAGCGTGCAAACAGAACGGGAAGTGCCTGCTCCGTCAGCGAACGGGGCTGCCCCAGCTCAGGGTCTCTGGCTGCTTAGCACTATATTTCCCCTTGTCGCTGCAGGGGTACCGGGTGGCAGGACAGCTGTCCTTGAGGGGCACAAGTCCCCAGGCAGGGGAGGAGAGAGGGTGAGAGCAGACAGCTCAGGGGAGGAGATGTGATAAAAGCCTGTGCCCCCTGTTCTTCCCCCTGGCACTTCATTTTACGAAGCCCAGTGTGGCTTGTACTCAAAGCACTGTGTGCTAAATATGTCTCGGGGTTTGTTTTCAATACCCCCAGTTTTAAAAAAGAAAGCCCAGCTGCTTGCCTATTTTTAAAAGTGCGTTTGCATGTGTGAGATGCTCTGGCGCCGCGGTAGCGGTGCCGGGACTCTGCTCTTGCTGTGTGTGCATGCTTGAAGCCTCTTCCAGAAGCTGGGCATCTCTGCTCGCCTCTGGGCACAAGGCCTGTCTTGAGGGAAGCATCCAGGGCTGGGGACTAGGACTCCTGGGTCCTAACTGGACTCTGCCACTGGCCTGGTATGTGCACTTGGGTATGTCTCTTCACCTCTCTGCATCATCTCTCCCTTGTTAATTGAGCCTGTCTTATGTGGGTTCAGAGTAGAGCAATGGGGCCTGGTCTTGGCTGGTGCTTCTGTGTTACTAAAGACTAACTGTGACTTTGCCTTGTGCTGGTCCTCAACAGAGGGGAGGGAGGATCTCCGCTCCTGCTGTAATTCATAAATTGAGTAAGACTTTCTGCATCCTCTTCACTGGAATTTATTGTCGTTTCCCTTTTCCAGTGTCCCCGTAGAAGGCCTGAAATGGGTAAGGAGGCCAGTACATAAGAGGAGCCTCCAAACGGAGAGGACACGTTAGGTATCATCTCCACTCCACCACTGAAACAGCTGCTCCTTTGCAGCTTGCATGGTTTTTTTTCCAGGGATTGAGGCCCTGGGGCTGGACAAGACCCCAGCGTTGTTTCCATGTGAAATCTGCTCCCTGACTTGGATCTGATTAAACATTTACCCCAAAGCAAACAGCAAAATGCCAGTGCCAGGTGACTGCAGCCAGTGAATGTGAGATCTCCCCCTCTGCAGCTGCCTGCTCTGTGCGTGGCACTGGCCGTCCTCTGCCTAGGACGCTGGTCTCTCCCCCAGCCCGTTGTGCAGCAGCTTCAGCGTTGTTGCTGCCAGGCCTCCAGGAAATGCACTGGGCCCGTGGTTCTGCTCTGAAACAGCTGCACGCCTGCTGCCTTCCTATCGGGGCTCAAGCGTGCAGGGACCTGACTTGTGCTGGCCCGTGAGGTCTGTCTGCCCTCGTCACTCCTCCATGCTGCATTAGCAGGATCAAGCTCCAACTGGGGACGTGAGCACAGGCCCAGTCACTGTATCACGTGAGCAGGCTAACTATCGAGTCTCGGGCAGGTGGTGTGCTGCCCCGGG